CAGATCCGAAGCAGCTTACAAAAACATAGAATACAAAAGGATAATGGAAAAATTCTACTCTGCCTCTATGGCTCTTGCTTGCCGGAGACAAAACCATTTCATGAGGGGAGACAAGAGCAGTGCTTTGACCCTGCACTTAAAATGCCTCATGAAGTGAGTCACCATGGAAGAGTTCACGCTCTTGAGTACAAATTTAAGAAGTGCTATCCTGGAATATTCTGATTTTGAATGGGGTAGGGGAGGGAGAAACACTACAACAGCTTCAAGAAGTTTATGGAAAATGAATTAAAAGATAAACTAATTTTGGTACAGAAAACTGAGAATTTCATGCCTATAAGGGGTCTTCAGAAAGCTCACAAAATGCAAATTATAAAGGAATTGTGCATTGATTTCACATTTTGTGACAAAACAAATTTGATTCCATTTCCTACAAACTTTTTGAAGTCCCCTCATATTTTAGTGCAGAACCATTTAGAACTTGTCAATGATTTGAATACATAAAAACCAGGAACAACACCGTGATGGATCTCAGAACTGAGGAAATTGATGCTGGTGGTCCCCCTCAGAGGAGAGGGGATTAGAAAGGGAGAGCAGGTCTAGGGAACAGGAGCAGGGGAAGATGAACAATGAGCTGCAGGTACTACAGTCCTCCCGGGATTTCCAAACATGGTTAGAACAGTGATGTTAAAGTTTAGAGGGAAGGGATAAGACCCTGGAGGAGGAAACTGGAGGGCTGCTCTCACAGCAGTCACTGTTTATAGATAGGGAGTAGGAATCAGAATTAGTAAGGAAAAGCTCCCAAGCCCAGGCCCATCAGGATCACCTGGAGAGCTTTTGTAGCAAAGATGGCCTTGCCCCCACTTGAGTTTCTGACTGTAAATCGAACTTGGAGGCCAATAATTCACATTGCTAATGCATTCCCAGTTCTGTCAGTTAGGTGACTACTTTTTGGAAATCATGGATTTAGAATCACTAGTTTAGCTCAGGGTTTCCTGACCTTGACATGCTTGCTGTTCCAGGCCAGATAACCCAATGCAGAGCTCTCCTGTTTCTTACAGGATGTTCAGCAACATACCTGGCTCCTACCTTCTACATGCCACTGGCTCCCCTACGTTGTGTCTATAGAAACTGCTTCTAGACATTATCCAGTTTCCCCAAATACCAGTTGGGAGCCACTGCTTTGCAGGAGGCAACATACATGACAGGGACAGTCTGAAGCAGCCCCGGAACACAGTGGGGCCTCAGCTTGACCTCCACCTTAGCATGAAACAAAGAATTTATGAGTGAGGATTCAAATGTTAGCTTTTGGAGAACAAATCCCAGAAAAATCCAGTTGGAACAAAGCTTTACTGTAATTCCAGTTGCGAGTTCTGCACCCTGGAGCCCTGAAAAGTGTTTCTATTGCATTTTCTCCAATTTGTGGACGTCCCTTTTTCTTTTCACATGTGGTCTCTCTGGATCACTGCTTCGCTTGATTGTTGTCCTCTTTATGACTTCCTTATTCTGAACACCGTGTCATTGGTTAGACAAAGCAGTGTTCTGCATCACGCAGGCAAGTTTATTCCGTGCTCAAAGTATTTTTTTTTTTGAAAGAAAATAATACTCTGGAACTTGGTGAATGTTTACAAATGTGTAGATCTTGAAAGCCATGTAAGCGTCAGGCCTTCCGACAGTATTAACAGCCCCAGGACTCTGCTGTGTCTTACCATGAAGGTACTGCCACTCAAACTGTGGTCCCGGGACCAGCAGCAACGGCAGCCCTGAGAGCTGACACACACGTGCAGACGCTCCCGGTGGGAGGCTCCTCGCAGGCCCATGGAAGTAGCAGCTGAATTTAAACAGGAATCCAGGTGATTCCCATGCACACCAAAGACTGAAAAACACTAGGTGAAGGTCCTGATATCTACGTTTCAGAACCTTCAAGGCACCATGTGCTTTTCAAGAATAACAATTTTGCATTTATTTAAAATATTGATAATTCTCTCTCTCGCTCTAGAATGAAAACCTTGAAAGAGTCATACATTTAAGAGTGTGACCCCAGAGCCACACACATCCTCACTGCTAGAAATATGTCAAGTGATTTAAGGAACTTGGCCTTAGTCTTGTGCCTGTCTGCTTTCCCTAACTCCCAACCTCAAATGGATTTCCAAAGAAGTGTAACTTTTTCTGGAAATGTAAATACATCTCCTGTTTTTTCCTATAATATTTATTTTTATGAGCAACAGGGAGGGAGTGGTGGGCAGAGTTCTTCCATCTGCTGGTTTACTCTGCAAATGCCAACAGCTGCGGCTGGGCCAGATGGAAGCTAGAAGCCAGGAACTCAAGCTAGGTTTCCCACACAGGTGACAGAGACCCAAGTACTTGAGCCATCACTGCTGCCTCCCAGGGTGTGCATTAGTAGCAAGCTGGATTGGAAGTGGAGATGTGCTTGACCCAGACACTCAGATATGGAATGTGAGCATCCCAATAGCAGCTTAACTCACAGCATGATGACACCTACTCCAAAGTGTTTTTTGTTTGTTTGTTTGTTTTTTGACAGGCAGAGTGGACAGTGAGAGAGACAGAGAGAAAGGTCTTCCTTTGCCGTTGGTTCACCCTCCAATGGCCGCCGCGGCCAGCATGCTGCGGCCGGCGCACCGCGCTGATCCGATGGCAGGAGCCAGGTACTTATCCTGGTCTCCCATGGGGTGCAGGGCCCAAGCACTTGGGCCATCCTCCACTGCACTCCCTGGCCACAGCAGAGAGCTGGCCTGGAAGAGGGGCAACCGGGACAGAATCCGGTGCCCCGACCGGGACTAGAACCCGGTGTGCCGGCACCGCTAGGCGGAGGATTAGCCTAGTGAGCCGCGGCGCAGGCCCTACTCCAAAGTGTTAACTCCTTATGTGTCATGTTCAAAAAACTTGAACTTTCTCAGATCTTGAAGAGATGGTTAGGAAGGATACACAAGGAACACACTTTACTTTTTGCTTGAATTATATTCATTTCCAAGATTTGAGTCCCTCAGCTGCTAAGAATTACCTGAGTATTGGAAAGAGAGAAGCCATTTAGTATATTTTGTATAATTCTGGCCAAGGACTTTTATTTTTGAATGCTTTCATTAATGTTTTTACTGCTGTTTTCTCCATCAGCAATGATTACTATGAGTAAAATATTGTAAATTAACAAAATCACCAGTAAAATAGTTTTTCACTTAACAATTCATATACTTTTTGCATTTTTATTTATATAAAAGAAACAGATATCATGTATTTCATATACACAGCTTTAAGAGCATAATGATACTGCCCAACCTATCTTGACCTTAATTTTTCCTTTAATTTTTAAAAATATTTATTTATTTGAAGGGCAGAGCTACAGGGTGAGGAGGGAAGGAGGGGAGGGAGAGTCTTCCAAACACTGGCTCACTCCCCAAATGGCTGCAATGGCCAGGGCTGGACCAAGCAAAAACCAGAAGCCAGGAGCTTTATCCAGTTCTCCCACATGGGTGCAGGGGCCCAAGGACTTGGTCCATCTTCCATTGCTTTTCCAGATGCATTAGCAAGGAGCTGGATCTGAAGTGGAGCAGCCAGGTCTCGAACTGGCACCCATTTGGGATGCCAGTGTTGCAGGTGGTGGCTCAGCTCATTATACAACACTGGTACCATCTTGCTTTTATTTTTACAATGACATGTTCAATTTACTTTATAGTCACAAGCTTAACTCTCCACTAAATAAAGAATTCAACTAGTTCTAGAAAAACCACTGTTCCTTAACAGTATAGACAAGAGCTATAATTAATAATCAAATCTCAAAATGTCAACTTTGCTCATATACATGACTTTTTTCGTACTTTGTGTATTAATTACCATAAACCAGGGAAAACCTATGATGTTTGTCTTTTTGGACTGGCTTATTTCACTAAGCATAATGGTCTCCAATTGCATCTATTTTGTTGCAAAAGACAGGATTTCTTTCTTTTTTTAGAGCTGAGTAGTATTCCATTGTATGTATGTAACACAATTTCTTTACCCAATCATCAGTTAATGGACATCTGGGTTGATTTTGTATCTTAACTATTGTGAATTGAACTGCTATAAACATAGGGGTACAGATAGCTCTTTCATATGCTGCTTTCATTTCCTTTGGGTAAATTCCCAGGAGTCAGGAGGCTGGGTATATGGTAGATTTATTTTCAGATTTCTGAGGAATCTCACTACTGTCTTCCATAATGATTGTATTAGTTTACATTCCCAACAATGAACTCAAATGCTCTACTACTTAACCCTATCCTCCCCCCACCAATAGTGAACTAGGGTACCTTTTCCCCCACATTCTCTCCAGCATTTATTTTTTTGACTTTTGAATGATAACCTTTCTAACTGGGGTGAGGTAAAAAACCTCACTGTGGTTTTTATTTGCATTTCCCTGATGGCTAGTGATTCTGAGCATCTTTTCATTTGTCCGTTGGCGTTTGTGTTTCATCCTTTGAAAAGTGCTTGTTCATGTCCTTAGCCTATTTCTTAACTGGAGTATTTGTCTTGTTGATTTCTTGGGCTCCTTATATATCCTGGATATTAATCCTTTATCAGATGTAGAGTTTGCAAATACTTCCCCCATCCATCGTCCTCTCCTTGTGTTCTTGCTGGGCAAAGCTCATAACTGATGTATCCAGTGTCTATTTTGCTTTACTGCCTTGCCTCTTATGGCTTATCCTACCTTTTCGTCAAAAAATCTGAAGCAAATGTTTACAGTAAAGCGTAACTAAAGCAATTTGCTAAGGCACAACAAAGGTCATAAAGATCTGATTGCTGATGAAAAGTGTGTTGTATTTTACAACCCAGAAATCACCATAATGTAAGCAGTATCTTTGTCTCCAGCCTTCCAAGCAGTAAAGAGGATTCTACTATGGATGACTTTTGTGTACTGTCAAGGTACTATGTCAACACACTTTTTCCCAGTCATTAAAAAAAAAAAAAAAAAAAAAAAAAAAAACTCAAAACAATAAGAAACAGACCACTGGTATTAACAACAATATTTTTATTTACAAAGAATTGTTTTATTTGGCTGTTTGGAAAACCACTAACATTTTTCACTTTAGAAAACATTAAATAATAAACAGGCTGTTATACAGTACTTTGGATAACTTCTTCCATCAGTTTAGTGCAATGTATTATTGGCACCTAAGAATGAACTTCACAACTATTTTCCCCTTTCATCTTCAATTGTGCAGTTATCTGGCCAAAAGGAAATGAATCATTAAAAATGGGTCTAAAGCCATGTTTTTCTGGCTTCCACTCAAAGGCTTGGAGATTTGTATTCCCTGTCCAGTCCTGCCTCTACCAAGTTAAATGATAAAAGACTTTCTATTGTACCTATTGTTCCAAATGTGTTACCCTTCTGTGAAACCTGGGAGATCTCAACTGGTCAGGGAAACTGAATGGTGCCAACCAGGGGAAAGAATGGTCGAGAGGTATTGGACACTGCACCTTTTTTCAGAAACTAAGTTAACTTATCATATACACAGCGAAGAGAACGCACCAGACAAAAATCTCTCTGAACTGTGTTCCTTGCTAGGGTCTGTTAAAAACATCTGAAGCATCATCCATTGAGCAAGTGAAAGGTTTACACCTTAACCAAGAAAAAAAATGCTTCAAACATCACCGTGTTAGAGCATTACTGAGATAATATCTGCCTATCCTACTCTTTCGGTATAAACAGTTTTTTTTTTTTTTTAAATTATCGTTTACTTTTTGTTTGAATACTGCTAGGTTTGGCAGAAAGAGAGAGACATTTCAGTGAGCTCAGCCTTAGGTTGGCTTTTCCTCCTTTGATCTCCTTCCACTGGGGGCTCACGAGGGAAACACCTCAATTGGCGCTTAGTCCAAATTGCTTAGTTCTGAAGACTTTCATTACCTACTCAAAGGATCAAAACCTCTTCTGGGAGACTCTGTAACATGTTACTTTACCATGAAGTAACGACATCTTTACCCACCTTAAATCTTTATCTGATTTTTAAAAAGCTGCTGGGAGGCGAGGGAGGGGTGAGGAGTTGGGGAGAGACAGAGAGGTCAGAGAGAGAGAGAAAGAGAGAAAGAGAACGCTAGATTGTAGATCCACACTTCTTTTCATAAAGGATTCCAAATTAACAACTGTCCCTGTCAGGAAACGCTCCCTCATACTCTAGTTTGAGCCTGCTTCCTCCCGTTCTATTCTTAGTGCATATGGAGAACAGCTGCTCACCGTCCTCTCTGTGCCAACCCTCCATATCCTTGAAAACCATCAAGGGTTTGCCCCTCAGTCTTCTCTTCTCCAGGCTGAATAATCCCAGTTCCTTTATCTTTTCATCATAGATCTCTTTTTCCAACCCTTTAATCATCTTTGTGATTCCTGGCAAAAACAGCAGAAAACATTTTGATTACTTAATCTGAAATGAAGAAAAGCCTCAGGAGTAAGTTGCCTTTTAAGTCTTTTTTTTTTTTTTTTAGAATAAAGGTAGAATATGCAAGGAAGAAATATCACTGTGCATTTATGGATCTTACAATTCCAATCTTATCCTGCTTCTCGGGGCAGATCTCATTCCAACACATCCAATGCCTCCAAGCCCAGGTCTTGCATCTTCTTCCATTTTGATACAGCTCATAACTTACAAGCTACACCTGCTTAAGTTGCATCAATTGAAAACAATATGAAAATCTGTCCCATGGCGCTTTCCCCATACTTCCTCTCACTCTGCTTCCACCAACAAGATATTTTCTCTGAAACAACCGGAAGTTTTACACGCTTCTCACAAACTACCCGAAAGCCATGTTATGATGGTAAAAGCTGTTGGTCTTAAAGTATAACTCGTAATAGTTACGATTAACTGCAGTTTCTTGTCTCCCTGAATGATTCACTATCCTTCATAGAGATCAAATTCAAGGCCATTAGAAAAATTCATCACTCTTCTACCACAACCTGACACTTCTGCTGATATTCTTTTGCTTCCAATATAAGGTCATAGAACCAAATGACATTTCACCATGTATTTTTTAACTCAAGAGATCACAAGCTGCCTTTTACTTTGCAACTAGAGTCTGTAAATCTTAGGAACACGTAAATACTTAATATCAATAGCACATTTACACGAAGCACAATACTACTTATGAGAGGTTACGTGCCCACTCTACATAATTGTCTTTAAAAGAAAAATACGGGTAACAAGAATAGATGCATCTTGATATATTACACACCCTTCTTTTACAAAGTAATCAACAGTGAAAGTCAGAGTTCAGGTCAGGCCAGAACTAACTAAAATGAGGAGGATAAACCGATTTCACAAGCACATTGTACATCTCATTTTAAGGGAAGCCAATACTACTCATGGTGCAACACTCAACAGACAACAGAATGGCCACGTGCACAGTTTTCTTTTGAAAACTTCCACATTTTGCTACAAGGAGCATCTTGTAACCAGGATGAAAGATAGTACGGATCACCACACCAAAGGCCTTCCTAAAAGAGACACAGGGTGGAAGGCAACACCAAAAGGTGGTTTGTACGTGTCTACAGGTGCCCTTGTCACTGCTCATTGGGATTGCAAAAGCAGGCCATTGAGACACGGGTCACCAACCAGACTTTCTCCTGACCCACTGACCCACTCTTCTCTTAGGCCTGTCAAGAGGGAGAAGAGGAGAGAAGGTGAGGATTGGAAAAAAGAAGAGGGAGCAACACAGTAGTTCATTGCTAGTTCTGGAGTTGCTAGCGTTCTTCGGAGCAGTGGCCTTTTTTCAAGCTCACATCATCCAATCCAATCTCCCCAGTGTGACCACGCCTTTTTTCACCTTTGAAGATGACCTAGGGAGAGAACGCACACACCAGTCAAGCCTCCTCTGCCCCTTTCCAGTGCCCGCTCTTTCAGCAAAACAAAGGCAAACCTTCCCCCAACCTCAGTTTGGAACTTATTTAACAGGAGGAAACAGAACTTAGTTGCCAGCGTCACTGAAGGCTTGTTTCTTTAAAAGACACTTGAGGCATCAGGAAGTTGTTCATCAGAGCACATTGCTCAGAATCAACTACCCTTTAAAAAGCCGTTCTAAACTGTAGACTATTTGAATTTATGAGCATACAAAGTATGTACTCTTGTCAAAGGTAACCAAGCTTAGGAGAATGTGACGGGATATGAGGGTCAGAAGTGAAGCGCCACATCTCTGAAAGATCAGAATCATGCAGCCTGTCTCAGGTGTTTCTTAGTTCCTCCTTTTGCTTCACGTGGCTTTGTTGCCAAAAATGGGATCAATCAAATACCATGATCCAATAACACTGTTAAAAAATAAAACCTTTCATTCTTCTAATATTTTATCTTCTGTAGAGAACCTCTATTTGTTTTAAAAAAGATTCAAATCCATCAATGATATGATTGGAAACAACTTATTATCTTGTTTTATTTCTCCAAATACTGTACTAAGAAAAATTTAAGAAAAAAAAGAGAAAAAATCAAATTACTCTGATAATAGCTGTATTAACAAAGTCGATTTTTTCTTCCTAAAATAGTTTCTGGAAAACTGTACCTAAAGAGATTGATGCAGGATTTCCTAACAAAATAAGTTTATAGGCATCAACATAAAAATGTTTTTCCAAATGCGTTCATCAATTTTGTTGTAGATTATTTTCTTGCTACCTAAGATAAAATTTATTCAATCCAAGTCTTTCCCACATCCTGTCCTGAATAGAAGAGTGCTTTCTAATTGCAGTTGTGGGTTCCCACTCTAGAGATCCCACTATGATCTCTGGAGCAAAGGGGGAAAATGGACTTTAAAGAACCATCTCCATATTAATTTATGGTAGTAAAAGTTCGAAGGAAAAGGGAAAGGAAGCATTGTTAAGCTCACCACCCCTGCCCTTTAAAGCCTCCATGAATTGTTTTTACTTTTCATTTTTTCTTTTTTTCATTGAGGATGGGTCTTCGGCAGGGTGGGGAGGGTGGTGAGGCACAGGTCGCAATGAAGAAGGATGAAGAGGCAGAATGCGATTACAGAAAGAGGCAATGAATGGAGTCAGCATGCCCAGAGGAACGCAAACCTTTGTCTGAGCCTGAATTCACAGAGCGAGGCCTCTTCAAATTCAGACCCCAGAGTTCTCCTATGAAAGGAAAAGCTCCCAGGTTCAGCCTCCTTTGCAGATCTACTTACGCTCTTGACGTCAGCCCCTCGCAAGGTGATCTGGGTCTGCCTCCAGCCATGGCCTCCATTTCTTCCCCACAGGGCTGCTCCGTGGGCACCGTGTTTCCTCACAAACACCTGGAGGCTGCCCGAATGCAGCCCCTCCACCTTGTGCCTGAAGGACAGGCAAAGGTCCCCTGAGTGCATGAGATGGCCGAGAGGTAGCACCAAGCGGGCGGCTTTTCCCCCTGGGGCTTTGGCTGCCGATACGGTCAGATACCGTCCACCTGCAATGCAAAGGCAGGACCGTGTGTACGTGATGATTTCCCCTGCTGGCACAAACAGCTTGGGCAGGAGCTTGCTTTCTTTGTTTTAACAAACTCTGGACTGTGACAGTCCTCTGTTAAGAATTCCAGACGACTTATTTCAATGCCTGTCTAAAACTGTGTGTGCTTACAGAAAACTCTCACTCACTCTGCTCCTGGAGAGTAGAAGTTACACCAAGGATACACAACCATCAGAAACCTGAGCACTGTGAGTATTCCGAGGGGAAATGATGAGACAAACATCGGTGTCCACGGACACACCCATTCAGCATCTCCTGACCCTCAGCGCTTTATGTTTGTGTTGTCCAGCCCCTCAGCAGAATCAGCTGGGTGTCTAGTAGAGGTGACCCCAAATTGCCCGGGAGAATTTCCTGTGTGGAAAATCCACCTACAGACAGGGTGATTTAAAGGGGACTCCACCTGTTTATTCTCTCCTCCCTTTGTTTTTGAATCTCTAAAGATGGAAGGATCTTTAAACACAAAACAACAAAAAAAATCCAAACTGGAAATCGCCATGCCTGTCACACTGGTATACACCTAACTCCGGAAGGACACAGAGGGGTCTTGGAAGCCCTAACCCATCTTCCAAGAGCACCAGCTTTCTTTGGAGGTAAGTACTTCAAAATATTTTTATGTTGAAACAAACCTATGGCATTATTTAGGGATATATTCCTTTACATATAAATACCCGACCACAATGCTCATTAAAACTTCCACTTTAGACAGGTTACTTGGTGGTGTCCTCAGATACCTAGCGCTACGGAATTTGCATCCCTCTGTTGTTAGGGAAACTACAATTTTAAGTAAAAGTCTAAGCAACAGTGAAGAGGGGCTGCTACGTCTCCAGGGAGAGTTCTAAGTGGTGTTTTTGAAACTCAACTCTGCACAAGCGAGACTCCTCTGGGGCTGCTTCATGTCAGCCAGCTGAAAAACATGATGCTTCAACACTTATGTGTCCACAGGAAAAATGAGGTTGGAATGCTGACCACATGTGTCTGCTTTGGTAGGAAACCCATTTCCTTCCCAGTTAAATGAAAAATCATCGTCTCTTTCTGGTACTTCATTTATGTAAGACTTAAGATTGGAATGTCTTCTCCTCTCCCAAGTCCCCTCTGGTCTCTCGGAGGCCCTGGGTGATTTGGCGGGGCTGGGATGCTTATGATGTCCTAGGCATGGTGCTAAGTGCACCCAAAAGGCAGTTTGAAGTCAGCACCTTTCTTTCTCCCAAACCTCTGCATTACACTCCTAGCATGAAGTAGGTGTTTGAAGCTGTTTGTTGAATGGATAAATGATGTTCTAAGAAGATAGCAAGAAACTGTAGGGAGACAGTTGTTTGACTCAGATACTTAAATCACTAAAAACACAGACACAGTTTCTTACTTCCTCTCACCAGCGCATGCCTTTCCCCAACATTTCAACCCCCATAATATTTAGGCCCAAAATATTTACATGGATTTTAAGTGTTTCCCTATAAGATTTTGAGTCAATACAGGTATTGTGATAAAGACTAAGATATGATGTTACGACAGTTAACCTGCAAGTTTTAAGAAAGCAAAGCTGATGTTAAATGTCTATGGAATTCATACCCATGTCACTCTGTGCAAAACTGCCAGCAAACATGACAACCGGGTAAACCAAAGCTCCTGATAAGATTCAAATTAATCATTTTCTACGAGTATCTAGAACTCTAAAATTTTAAGCATGATGAATGAGGTTACATGCAGATGAATGAGGTTACATACAGAGCTGCTGAGGGCAACAAAGTTTTGGTTTTAATTTTTTTTTTTTTTATTTGAGAGGCAGAGACAGGTGGAGCTCCCTTTTGCTGGTTCAAATGCCTATAACAGCAGGGGCTCAGCCAGGGCCAGCTCCAAAGGGAGTCCTTCTAAGTGGGTTTAAGAATCCATTAATTGAACCATCACCACTGCCTCCCAGGGTCTGCCTTGGCAGGAAACTGGAGTCAGGAAATGCAGCCAGGAACTGAACCCAGGAACTGTGATGTGGTACATGCACACCTTAACCATTAAATTCTATTTTTACTATGAAGAATTTTTTCCTTTTGTAATTACGGAAATGTTATAAAATCAGAACAGAAACTTAGGGAAAAACCAGTCCAGCCTCCCAAGCAAGTTTCTTCTTACATAAAAATTTCACTTCTGATTCTAAAATATTGGATCAAATACAAAACTATATTAAATATTTTCATTCAGTTTAAAGTATAACATCAAAAATATTTTTAAGATGCAAGGAGAATAAATAATATATACTGGAAAACTTAATCAGAAAGCTACGTGATACAATTTAATTTTTTAAAAGACTTATTTCTTTCAAAGGCAGAGTAAGAGGGGTTGGGGGAGACAGAGAGAGAAATCTTCCATCTGTTGGTTCACTCCCCAAATGCCTTCAACAGCCTGGACTGGGTCAGGCCGATGCCAGGAGGTCTCCCTGAGAATGGCAGTGACCAAGTTCTTCAGCCATCGTCTGCTGCCTCTGCTGCCTTCCAGGATACATTAGCGGGAAACTGCATCAGAAGTGGAGGAGCTGTGACGGAAACCAGCACTCCAGCATGGGATGTGGGCATCTTAAGTAGTGGTTTATTCTGCTGTGCCATAAAACCCACCCCTAAACTTTAATTCTATAGTGGTTGGTACCCTATCAATGCAAGTGACAAAGAGAACAACATAGAGTTTATTACTTTAATCAGTTAACTCCTTGGTAAAAGGAAGGTATAAGGAGTTTCACAGTGATGTTCTTTGTATTTTATGGTCTACCTGAAAAAACAGCCCAGGAAGAAATAAAATCATTATGGTTTGCTGGCATTTACCCTTCCAATGCAAACTGCTTAATTTTTTTTTTCTAACAAATAATCTGTGTCCACTGGGAGAGAAAGAGAAGAACATACAGATTTAAATAAACCATAAACCCATAACCCAGAGACACTTCTAACATCTTGATGTCTGCACTTTTCAAATACATGCATATAAATATGAACATTTAAAAAATAATACTAAATTTGCAATATTGGGGGGTGGTATAGTGGCATAGTACGTAAAGCCACTGCCTGTGACGCCACATTCCATATGGGTGTTGGTTTGAGTCCCAGCTGCTAATGCACCTGGGAAAGCAGTGGAAGTGCTTGGGCCCGTGCACCCACATGGGAGACCCTGGTGAAGCTCCTGGCTATTGCAGCCATTTGGGGAGTGGACCAGCAGATGGAAGAGCTATCTCTGTCTCCCTCTCTCTGTAATTTTGACTTTCAAGTAAATCTTTAAATTGGCAACATTGATAAATCACAGCCATTTTATCTCAGAAAATATAGACAGTTCATAGCTGTAAGTATGTTGTTAATCATTTAGTAATTTCTTATTGGAGAGCATATGGTCCCAAATTTTTACTTTTTTAAGATACAAGCAAGCACTTGTAACACGTGAAAAAGGGAACATTTTCCTTTTTATGTAGATAACTTTTATCAGTCAACACTAAAAAATAAGGAAAAATAAGACGCATTAGAAAAAAAAGTTTTTTAAATATATGAAAACCTGGTCAACTTTTTACAATTACGAGTGCAAATTAAAGTAAAAATGACTTGCCTTTTCACCTACAAGCTTGACAAAGATTAAAAGCAAATTTTATAGTACCTGTGCTGGGATGGTTCTTAAATATTGTTAATGGGTATATAAACTGTTACAACTCTTATGAATGGCAATTTGGTAAAATCTATCAAAATTCCAAATGCAAATTCCCTTGACCCAGCAATTCTGTGTCTAGGAATTCATTCCACAAATATGATATATTCAAACAAATATAAAGCAATATAAATACAGGGCTATCCTGCAGCATCATCTGAACCACCAGCAGGCTGGCATGTTCCTCTGTAGCAGGCTGGTTACATACACTGTGTGACATCTGGTGACCAACAGTAATGGCTATGAACATGGCTGAAGGTGTTTTGTAAGGACTGATACAGGACAATCTTCAACCTCCATGGCTAATACCATTTTAACAGTAACTCTAAGCCAAACATGGCTTAAAATGGTTTAAATATGTTCGGGAGATACTACTGATCATGCCTATTTCAGTCACTTGCTTAAGGTCAAAGCTAGTAAGCTATAAACAATGGGGCTAGGTTTCAGCCCAGCCATCCTGGCTTCCAAGTCCAGGTTCTGGTTTACTCCCAAGATAATATCATTAAGGAACGACAGCAAGGTACAGAGGGGGGGTGCTGTTGTGTGCAAAAATATCTCTCTGGAAAGATAACAAGAGACTGGCTGTATCTGGGGAGGGTGGATGGAAGCCAGAGATGGCAGGGTCTCCCACTTTCGTTATTTTCCCATTTATGTGTATTTCAAAATAATGTTTTTACAGTTGTATGTACAAACTAGCATACTTAGGAGTTATTTTAGGAAACTCCTGTAGCTTTCAGTAGTGGACAGGGTGCTGGTTGCTTTTAACTCTTGTTCTCCAGGGATGATAGCTCCAGGAACGAGCCCCAGGCCTAGCCTTGCCATCTACAGGAGAAAGGAGTGTCCTCAGGGCCACAGCTACCTACCTGGAGCACAGCACATCTGTCAGCAGCACAGTTTTCTGTTTCTCAGAGGAATGCATTAATCTTACATCTCACAATTAGGCTCAAGAGTGCATGTGATAAATAAAACCTAGTAGCACCAAGAAGGGCAGTTTGCAAATTCACATGTTTTGAGTTGCTTCTCAAGGTTTCAAATTTGTTTGAGAGTTTCCTTAGGACTTATATTGGCATATGAAAGTATTTGGCAGTCTAGATCTTGAAAAGAACCATATACCATTAAAATAAGTCTAACTAGAAACCCAAATATATATTCTTTTACAAATGGTTTAATCTGGATAGAAACAAGTAAGCAATTTGGTAATTAGAATAACAGGCAGAAATTATATAATTGCTTATATTCTGTTCTTTGCATGTGATACACACACACACACACACACACACACACACAAACTTTAGCATTCTCCTATTTGGGTATGGTTACAATTCCCTGGTATATTTTGCAATTCCCCTGACACAGACTGTGCATTCCTTCCCCTTTCTGCCAGCTCTGTGCCATCTTTGGCTCTCCCAATCCTGTTTTAATTTTAATATTTACTTATTTATTTGAAAGGCAGAGTTAGAGAGAGAGAGAGAGAGAGTTAGAGTTAGAGAGAGAGAGAGAGAGAGAGAGAGAGAGAGAGAGATCCTCTATCTGCTGGTTTACTCCCCAAATGGTCATAATCGCTGGAGCTGGGCTGATCGGATGCCAGGAACCAGGAGCTTCTTCCAGGTCTCCCACTTGGGTTCAGGGGCCCAAGTACTTGGGCCATCTTCTGCTGCTTTCCCAGGCACATTAGCAGAGAGCTGGATATGAAGTGGAGCAGCCAGGACTTAAACTGGTGCCCGAATGGTATGCTGTGCCCGAAGGTATCCCAGAGTGCCAGCTCCCCATCCTGTTTTCTAAGCTAGAAGCCCACTCAACAATACACTGGAGATTGCCTGGGACATTCCATTCTGAATCAGAGGCTCTCAGAGCTGGCTTGAGAGATGTGCAAATCCAACATTTATGTGACATGCAAAACAGCCTTCAATAACACCTGGCCACATGTCACCCAGTCAGATGCCTCCAGCACAGAGAACTCATTACTTCCACATCAGCCTGCTCTCTGTTTAGATGGCTCTGCATATTATAAAGTTCATTCTAAGAGTGAACCAAAATCATACTTCCTGCAGCTTTCAGCCATTTTTTGTACCTCTCATCTCCTTGTGGGCACAGAGAACAACTCTAACTCTGGGACAATTATTTGAAAAGCAGCCTTGCTCTATTACATCTTTTCCAGGTTAAACATTATGGTTTCTTTACCTGTTTTCCATAGGCTTCAAGATACCTTTCCTTCCAAGTCATTCTCTTTTCAGTAACATACAGTTCTCAAACCAAAAATAACTACAAGTGGATTAACCACTGAACCAAAAATGGATTTTTCCATTCTGGAAAAATACCAGATTTCTATGAAGATGACCCATCTTTTTGGTAGCAACAGCATTCATACTGATTCTATTATCCACTCACATTCTAGAGCTTTTCACATTTAGTGCTCAGTCCCACCTTCCCTGCACCCCCAAGCTGTGTAGCTGGGTTCTAAGCCATAAGCCATACCTTGTATGCATCCCTAACCTAGCTTTTATGATGTTGGCCACGCCAGCACAATCACTTTCCCTTCCAGCTCTGAATCAACTAGTTAGGTCAACGTGTCTTCCATATCTAAGTTCAATACCACGGGGCTGGGAAAACTTAAACCAGCCCCAGAAAAGCATCCTCCAGGGGCCAGAGCCAATCATCAGGAGTCATCAGTCACCCAAGCAGCAACCACTTCCTTTCCATCTGTTCTGCACTGAAACAGCCCAACGACCATCCCAAATGTGGTTTTTTTTTTTCTTTCTTTTTGTCTATCACCCTAATTTCCAACCCTCTTCCATTTATCCACCAAAAGTTCAAGGGGAATTTGGGTCACAAAAATTTATGTATAATAAAAAATGTTGAAGAAGTCCTAAATTGTTCTAAAGTATAGCGTTCAAATTCTAAAAATCAAATATATTACACAGACTATCAGCATATAAATAAAATATATTTGTCTGAATTTAGCTTGAATTTGCTCCCCAATGCACCTTACCTGAAAGAGTTATTCATTATGATTGTAAAGATTGTTCACCATTCTATCACACACGACTGCCAGAGTCGTGTAGCAAACTGCACCAGGTCAGCAGGCAGTCAAATCTACAGACCTGGGATCTGCTGCACACTGCCACATAACTGAGGCCGGACCGTGGGACAGTGACAAATGCAGAACAATGCTGCAGATGTTCTGGGGGTCAAATTGCCGAGGAAGCTGCCTGGGTGGTACAGAGACCTGGACATAAAGTCAGAAATTCTACCTCTATCTAGCTCTGTGGCATGAACATCTCTGAGCACCCATAATTCCTCTGTGAAATAAAGACAATATTAACCACTCACAGGATGGACAAAGGATTCAATAAATTAATGAGATGATGAATGAGTTAGGACTACAGCATTTACTAAATTTGTGTTGTTTTTCTCTCTTATTCACATATAGTTGTGACAAAAATAGCATTGTCCTGTTCAGAGGTAACCTTAAATAGGAGAGTATTTAAGAATGAGAGCCAACATACTTTGTCTAGGGTGTTAAGTGATATTTTCCCTTCAAACTAAAAAAAATCTAAAAACTCAAAGAAATTTTAGTTTATTGAATACTCATATTTTTAAACTTTACCTAAAATGTTTATTTTTAAATGTTATATTGCATTCTTAGAGGATATCATGAATACGTTTTAGATACATTTTTAAATAACTTGCTACTCAAAATGTACACTGAGGACCAGCACCGTAAAATGTACACTGAGGACCAGCACCGTAAGTATCTCCAGGGATCCTGTTAGAAACACACAGAATCTGCATGGGACAAGACCCTAGCTGATCTGTGTGCACACTAAAGTTTGAAAAACACTCCTTTTTCAAGTTAACTTTTATGTTCTGTGTTTTATCTATACCCAAGGCACAGTATTTAAGAAATAAGCTTTTAAAATAAATGAAATAATACACCTTTTCTTCACATCTTCTATCTTTTATTCTTATAATCTAATATCAAGAGTACAAAAAAAGGAGAAAGATAAATCAAACTCCTCACTGTTGCATTCAGTTGGCCAAGGGGAAGAAAACAACAATGTGTAGCTCTGCTTCCTGAAACTAGAGGACAAAACACCTTGAAAGTCCTGAAACTTGAGATTAAGAGGGACTGTCTAATTTAAAAATCACCCCAGGGGACTATGTCCAAATCCACCTTTCTAGTATCCTCTAGTTAAATAAGTGCTGGTAACATGGCTATGTTTGCCTGTATCCAATTTACAGTGCATTTTTTGTCAGACTGATAATCACAACTTTATAGAACCTTCCACAGGGACCACTAGCATGGTTGATATAACTACATGTCATCTCCTTCATTCCTGGGAATAACTTGAGAAGTCTATACCAGAATGAGTTTAAATGTTTAATTTACCAAAGTTTTGAGAGAAATTAGCTGGCCTTTTAATTAAGTACTTGTCTCCCATAATATAATATTAGTTGAGACCTAACAAATTTGACTCACTTCCAAAAAAAAAAAAAAGAAAGAAAAATGCTAGGCATGTTTTTTTATTCTGACCTTCTTCATTAAGTAAGCACAGAGACACCCTATAGTATACTTGATTCGTAGAACTTGCTCCTCAGGAGGACTGAACTGAACTGTGTACCAGAAAGAGTCAGATGACAATGGCTTTACCTGCAGGGTCCCTGATGGGTTCCCAGTGCAAGTCATTTTCTTTTTCCCTGATCCATCCACAGAGTCCATGGTCAAAATTACAACTGTGTATCAGAACACCTACAAAGAAATGACCAGAAAGAAGAGTAGATCATAGTCAATGGACAAAAACAGATCTGTAAACTCGGAGCATCTGCACAAGTGTTCTCTCCTACCCACACTTAACTATCCCCCCAAAACTTCTTTCCGTGAGATCAAAAGGAAGTCACATGAATACTTTCTCAGCATAATTGTGCCTGTAGAATCAGCTGTAAAAATAGAACAGAGGTGTTGCCAAATGATGACCCTGTTACACTGTCACTTGTAAAATATGATTTCCTTCTCACAATATAAATACCATTTTAATACCTTTTTAAAAAGAAAATGATGATTCATAATTACTTCTGCTCAACTGCTTTAACTACAGTGGAAACTGAGTTATCAAAAAAGATGCAGCATTTTCCCAAATGATACCAAACAATGTACAATTTAAAAGTCATTTTCAGGAAATGGAGGAAAATAAATGAAGACATCTTAACAGTACTAGGAGCGCAAGTGTCTACCTGGATCGTCCTTGGCTTCGTCGTCTGCACTGACTCCTCTTTCTATTTCAAATATTTCAAAGAGATCATTTGAAGGCTGCCGTGGAACTGGAAAAGAAAGAATTTCAAGGTATTGGTTTGTTTATGAGGTATTGAGGCATTACTTTTTTTTCTCTTTTTTTAATACACATAGAAATAGATTTATTTTAAGGAAGTGGGCCATGTGGTGGTATTACTTTTAACAATGGGCAAGGGGAAAAACTGAGGCGTTTCACTCCTCTGAAACAACCCGAAATCCATAACTACATCTCACATGAAAATTCATGTTGTTCTGCAGCAATTTATATTGTAACATTGATCTCAGTGTGATTCAAAAAATAATTTTCAAAAGTTTCTAAAATTCAACATAAAAATAGTGTAAAACTCTTCATCTGTAAAATACACTTTAAAAGAACTTTCAAGTTCTACCAAAATGTTCATCTCTCTGCAAGTCTAAAATCCACCTCCATGAAAGGTACATTGGTGGCCGGTGCCGCGGTTCACTAGGCTAATCCTCTGCCTTGCGGCGCCGGCACACCGGGTTCTAGTCCCGGTCGGGGTGCTGGATTCTGTCCGGGTTGCTCCTCTTCCCGTCCAGCTCTCTGCTGTGGCCCGGGAGTGCAGTGGAGGATGGCCCAAGTACTTGGGCCCTGCACCCGCATGGGAGACCAGGAGAAGCACCTGGCTCCTGCCATCGGATCAGCGCGGTGCGCCAGTCGCAGCGCACCTGCCGCAGCAGCCATTGGAGGGTGAACCAACGGCAAAGGAAGACCTTTCTCTCTGTCTCTCTCTCTCACTGTCCACTCTGTCAAAAAAAAAAAAAAAAAAAAAAAAAAAAAGGTACATTGGTATTTACTTTAAGACTGTTGCAACAGCCAACGCATGCCTGCAACTGTAGGGTATGGTTTGGTTTTGGAACCACAGCATCTATTCCCCTCCAATGAGCCCTGTCCACTGTTGCATTCTAATAGATATTTCTTACCATGCATCCTTCATTTAAGCAGGTGCCCTGGCTCCTCTAAAACTAAATCCAAACTTGTTGGTGCAGCATCTGCAATCCTCCCACCAAGATATACAACCCTGTCCAAACAGAACATTCATTCTCACGACTCCAAGCCCAGTGCTCTCCTGTCTGCTAATTAACCTGCCAAACATCCCATCTTCAAGGCCCAGCGTAAATGCCACTGCCTCTGTGACAATCCTCATGCTCCAGGCGGCTCCTTTCCTTCCCTTGTGCTCTGACAGCTCGTGTTTACACACCTCTGTTGCATGCTTTCATAAAGAAGTGTGGTTATCCACACACACACACACACATGTGCCAGTCCCTGAGCTCCTAGGGGGGCATCGGTCACATCTTTTCCATGTAGCATTTCCAGGGCTTGACCTGGTGACAAGCACTCAAGAAGTGTTTATGGAGTGAATGCAAAGATCCGCTCAGGAACCCATGCATTCTGTCAACACTTTTCTTCAAATGACACAACTGGGACAGAGCTTAAAAACCCATTTCAAAAATAACTGATGCATTTAAATCATCTATTTCTTCGTGCAATGCCCATCTGCCAACCAAATGCTGGGCACTGTGATAGCACCGTGGAGACAGGATGAATGGGGTGAACCAGTCCAACATGGCCCTGATTCTAATTCTAGTGGGAGAAGCAGACACTAAACATGGAGATAAATGAGCCTGGTAATTCTAAATTCTGAAAAGGGCCTAGAAGGAAAAATGCCAGAAGCCATCATGAACAGTAACTGGGTTGGAATGTGCTGGAGTGGTGGTGGTGGTAAGAGGAATTGCTGGCCAAAGGCCAAGGAATACTCCCTGCTCTTTGCCAGAACGTCCATTAATTAGTTCTATTTATATAAGGCAGGGAGTGAAACATGTAGAATACCACGGAACACACATCATTCAAGAGGGTACACTTTTCAGTGATGGCTCCTGTTATTTTTAGCAAAATTTTTAAATTAAGTCACAATCTAATAATATTTGTACTAACTGTTTCTAGCTTACCGCTACTGATTTGTTTTCTTTCTATTTCAAAGAATCAAGCCATGAAGCCCCCTCCCTTCTCACAGGGACAGGGATAGAAGAAGCTGGGACAGATGACAGACGACAGACGACACGTGGGACTCAACCTGATCAGCAACATCATCCAGTTACACCTCCCCCTTCCTCTGGAGGCCTGAGAAGGGGCTGCTCTGCTGGTTACTGGAAATATGGCAAAACTGTAGGCAAGCGTGCGCCAATTCCCATGACACAGAGCTATAAACACTCTACTCAACAATTCCACTTTTGTTCCCTTTTCTTGTGGTAACCTAAATTATCTGTGAAGTGGGGTAGCTCAACTTTTGCAGGACCGTATTACAGGGAAGGAATGACACTTTTTTAAGCTCCTCGTTGTCACCCAATGAAAGATTGTCAAATGGCAAATTGAGTCAGGGAGACGAGGGTGGATAATGCAGTTCCCTGGCATCAGGGGCCTGTGTTTCTAAAGTGCAGTCAAGGAGGTTTTCTCTGGGGAAGCAACACTTAAACTGAGGCAGGGCAGGCATGTGGCATGCAGGGGTCAGGACACCTGCAGCTTACATCCGAGTCCTCACTCTGCTCTCAATCCTGGCTTCCTGTTAACGCGCACCCTGGGAGGCGGCAGGTGGTGGCTCAGGTACTTGGGTTCTTGCCACCACATGGGAGACCTGGGTTGAGTTCTAGGCTCCTGGCTTTGGCCGAGGCTAACCCCAGCTGCTGCAGGCATTTAGGGAGTAAACCAGCAGGAGGAAGATCTATCTCTCTTTCAAATTTAAAAGAGACACTAAATAAAAAGACAAACAAATAAAATAAGCTGAAAGGGGAAGAATGCGGAATTTTCCAAGCAGAAAGCCTGGAGTTAGAGTAGGGGGAAGGGGGCTGTGGGCAGCAGTTACAAAGAATGGAGTTGGAATATTTAGAGAAAGAAATTGGTGGTGGCTAGAAGACACTTAGAAATGGAGAAAGCAGCCTGAGATGAGGTTTAAGAGAAAGGAAGAGATGAGATCATCCATTTATAAAAGAGCAACCCAAAGAATTAGTCACTTAACCACCTGCAAAGCATCAGCTGTTCATTAGTATTTGAGGCACTTGGCTTCAGGAACGATTGAGCTTAGCATCGGGCGATCCTGCACACCTTCATGTACCTCGCTGGGAAATGTCCCAGGGAATGCAGCGACCTGAAATGCTGAAATGCTGAGCAGCTGTCTCACAATGCTGGGGCTCTGCTCTGTGACATTTCACAACTATTTAACGAATTCTCCTTCCTCACACATACCACTACAAGTTAAGAGCATCCTATTGAAGCGTCGAGAGAAGGTACACCACCCACTCCCTGGAGTATTTCAGTTTATGTGAAAACATAAAGTGAAGGAAGTCGTGGAAAAAATCACTCAAGTAGTATCAGCTTATCATCTCAAGATAAAAGGGACAAGAGAAAGAGTGATGGGGCTGCCGTTGTGGCCAGGGTCAAGCAAACGATGGCAATAACAGCATGAGATTTCAGTTTATGTCCCAGTCGCTTCACTTCTGATCCAGCTCCTTGCTAAGGCACCTGGGAAAGCAGTAGAAGATGGCCCAAGTGCTTGGGCTCCTGCACCCACATGGGAGAGTTGGATGGAATTCCAGGCTCCTGGCTTACACACTCTAACAACACATGGCCCTGCCCCAGTGTTACAGTCATTTTGGAGAGTAAACCTGCAGATGGAGGACCTCTGTCTGTCTGTCTCTCTTTTTCTCTCCGTCTGTAACTCTGCCTTTCAAATAAATAAATCAATCTTTAAAAATAAGAGTGAAATACATGAAAAAAGAGTGAAAATCAGTATACCAAAATGCTGGTAGTGGTGGGCTAAGCATTGAAAATTAAAGTGATTTTTTTTTACTTCTTGATTCATTTTATCTTTTGTAATTCTGTATTTTAAAGATTGTTTATAAAAAGAAACAAATTTAATTATGTAAAAGCTTACCTAAAACATCTGAAGAAAAAAGTTCTGTGAGAGTATATATTATAGAGGAACTGTATGACTGTTATTTGTATTTTGATTACTTAAAGAGAACTTTAAGAAGTCAATGTAAATATTATCATACATACCTCCACTGCCCACTTCTTGCAAAGAGTAACTGTAGCAAAATAGAAGCATTATTTGCTCAAGATAGGTTTGCAGATTCTGTCTCCGTTCTAAGTCTGTTCTCATGACATTGCCCAGGCCAGTTCTGGCGTTTCTTGCTGGACTAAGAGATTAAAGATAACACTGTTTTACATTCTTCCTATGCTTGGGGGTCTAGTTTGTTGAAGAGAATGGAACGCAGTAACTCTCCTAATATTCTGAAGGTTCATTCTGGTAGAAGACAGAAATTTTTAGAGAGCACAGGTTTGAGGGTGGGAATGGATGACAAAGATTATAGGAAGTACTTGCTCCCTTCCTCTCCCTCCAGAGGCAGGATATATGGATTTTAGCTTTAAATGACCAAAAAGAAGTAAAAGGCCTGAAAATAGATTTCTGCAATGTCTTTACTCTTATTCTTGAAAATTCTTAACCACCTATTGATGACTGGTGAAAAGAAAAGGGTTTCGGCCAGCGCTGCGGCTCACTAGGCTAATCCTCCACCTTGCGGCGCCGGCACACAGCGTTCTAGTCCCAGTCAGGGCACCGGATTCTGTCCCGGTTGCCCTCTTCCAGGCCAGCTCTCTGCTGTGGCCAGGGAGTGCAGTGGAGGATGGCCCAAGTGCTTGGGCCCTGCACCCCATGGGAGACCAGGAGAAGTACCTGGCTCCTGCCATCAGATCAGCGCGGTGCGCCAGCCACAGCGCGCCGGCCATGCCGGCCATTGGAGGGTGAACCAACGGCAAAGGAAGACCTTTCTCTCTGTCTCTCTCTCTCACTGTCCACTCTGCCTGTAAAAAAAAAAAAAAAAAAGAAGAAGGAAGGAAGGAAGGAAGGAAGGAAGGAATGGAAGGAAGGAAGGAAGGAAGGAAGGAAGGAAGGAAGGAAGGAAGGAAGGAAGGAAGGAAAGAAAGAAAGAAAGAAAGAAAGAAAGAAAGAAAGAA